CATCATACAAAATACATTCTGCAGACATGTTCCGGAACGAGTCGCCGCGACATCCAAGCCTCGTACGCCACGAGGCAACCGAATCAAGAGGTTGCTTTGTCACGTGGCATGCAAAGCACGGATGTCGCGGTGACTCGTTCCGGAACATGTCTGCAGAATGTATTTTGTATGGTGTATAAGCAGCGTGACCCCGACTTTAGGTGATCTCTTTTATTGTATCGTAGAATTTCTGCTCCTTCGTGTTTGGACTGTGAGCTGACATGCTGCACTGCAGTGATGCAGTTCTCGCACTTTCGCTGATATTGTTTAACCAAAGTTATTCTGTGCTGCGTAACAGAATTGAAATTTGATCTGTATATTATGTTTGATAAGTGGAATCAATGTGTTAAATAAAACAGTAACAATCTTTAAGAGTAAACACGTGTTTTATTTGCCATGACACAAGAAAATATTTTGAAATGTCTGTATCGAAATAGTAATTTTATAACGATGTTCTGGCAGCTTTTACGGATAAAAAAAACGTTAGAACGACGCCAGAAATTGGCGTTTCTTGGAAACAATCACACAAAATAGTTCGTGCTGCAAAGTGACTCCTTTTGCCTAACATAAACAATAACAATACAATCGTGCTGAAAAAAAAACATTTTTTTTTTAGCGGATAACACAAAAAATAAGTACATTCTAAAAAAAGCCCGTGCGTCTACTTTCCCGCACAACACTTGGAAAGACAATCACCATAACTCTCGGAGGCAGCTCAGCGAATGTCGATGCCGAAACATATGATTATACCAAAAAAATGAGTTGCGACACTAACCACAACAAGCGTGACGTTTTGCATTGCTTAATGTCACAACTCAGACTGGGGTTTTTTTTTTTTTTGTCTAATCTTATGTTTCGGCATTGTGATTCGCCGAGCTGCTTCCGTGAGTTACGGTGATTGACTTTCCAAGTGCTGTTCGGGAAAGTAGATTCCTGTGCTTTTTTTTTTGGAGCGTAGTTACCTACTTCATAGCATTAAAAACGAATTATTCGGCGTCTCTTGTCATCGGCAGAAGCTCGGAATTCCTGTTGTTTTCGAACGGCCATAAGCAATTTTCTGAGCTTCTCCGACATAAACTGAATCGAAAGACTATTTTCAGCGAGCAGAATTTAGAGGAGTCCAAGGGTTTGTCCACATGCCACAAAGTAGGAGAGTCCCGTTATGTAATACACCCATAAGCACATGACTATGGAGGGGGCCTCCATAGTCGTGCTAGCGGAGAGTTTCACTGACCAGTTCCCAGAAACGATCCGTTTCTCCGAACCGAAGAAAGTCTTGGGTCCTGGAACTTTTTCGTCAGGGATAAAATCGTCCTGCAAGCAGCAATTGTTAAAAAAAAGAAAGCGTCAGCGTCAAACTTACATTTTTATTTTTGCATTCGCTTTTTCACATACCATAGGCGATGAGAGGACTTCTGGCCAATCGAGACCGGAGAATGGTCTTCATGTTCAAGAATGTTGTTGGGTTGTCTCCGCAGAAGGCACCTTTTACCTCCTCCAGTTTCTTCAGCACGGCGTGTTATGGAACCGAAGCTGTGCATCCACCTTTAGTTGAATGAAAGACCATATTGTTTTCCTTTATATACAGAGAGTTGGAATTAGAATGAAGGTAATGAAGCGCTTTCACCTCTTTCCAAGCAGGCGGTAGGAAACAAATGCGAAATTAAAGTGCAAACAGTTCAAAGATTCGGAGCCCAATCTGTATACGATGAAATAGCGAGTGACATTAGCTTATGACGTAACTTCTTCTGCTACTATTGATATTTGGTACGAGAATAGACTGCTGTTTTAAGTAATTTACGCGAATCGTTTTTGTATTACCAAGACAAAACGAAAACGCATTTAGAAGTAGATGAACATTAGAAGTCCCATGTGTTTTGGAAAGCAGGGATTGCATTTGCGGCTCGAAGCTGCAGAAGAGATCTAATGCATGTTTTAAAAAGCAACATAATCAAATAAAAAAAAAATATATTTCTGTTGACATTTCGGCGCAAGTCAATCATTTATTCTTTTTTTCAGAAGCAACGCATATGCGAACAGAACGTAAATAGAGCCTACCTACATACAAGCCTACCTACATACCAGAATACAAAAAGTTCATAATTACCGAGTTCATTGTGGGCCGTGTGCGAGTGGCCGCAGTAGACTCATCACTCAGGGTGGTGCGTTCCACCGTGCAGAGGGTCCCGGTAGAGCTCTGTACACGAGAAATCCGAGCAGAACCCCCATCTGATTCCCTTCATGTCGACGTTTGTTGCCATTGCCTCACTCTGAAAACAATATTTTTAACGGTCAGTCATTTAACGTCCATACTCAACCTAGCACTGAAGCGCCTAAGAAAAAAAAAAAAAAAAAAAAAGAAAGAAGAAAAAGCAAACTTCTGTTTATATATTTTTCGCAGACGTACCACACAGAAAAAAAGATATTCAACCAGCTACAGAAAACAAAGAGCATAATAAACATCATAAATAAAATCTCCAAAAATAAAAACATGATCGGCGCCGAAAAAAAAAAAGAAAAAAAAAAGCCGGTAGCTTTGCTGGTGCTACCGTCAAAATATAACAAACAAAAAAGTACGGCAACAAAATATAAAAAAAAAAAAATGTACTCCAAGGCCATCGCGGCACCCTTCCTCTCTTTCCGCAGACGCCGCGACGCCGACGCAACGCGCAAAAGAAAAAAAAACTTGTTTTTTTTTTTGTGGTTTGAATTAGAAGCTTGTCTACCCTCCCCCTCCCCCCCCCCTTTTCACATACATACGCACATTATGGGTTTTTCGTCGCCTCCCACTTGAGAAAGAAGTTCATAATCACTGTAACGCTAACGATGTCTACAACATAACGTTGCAGTGTAAATTGCTGTAATGAACTCTGAAGGCAAACAAACGCAAAATCGCCAACATTGTTTCCGTCAATCAACGCTCTCGGGCGGTCAACCTCAAGCATTTAGAGTGCACACCGAGAAACAAATCGGCGAGCCAAGCTTACAAACACTGACTGCCCCAGCTAGGGTGCCTTTATGCCGGCTTTGCCTTAGGGAGGGTGATGCCATCCTTTGTAGTACTCGATGCCGACAGTGTACGCTCACGGATAAAGTAAAAGGAAATTGCCGGTAATGAAATGCCGGCGTAGCAGTGCCAAAGCTAGCAGCTCGAGCTGGGAGAAGAACGAACGCGCGTCCGAAATTAAAAAGTAGACAAAAGCGTTGGGCAGAAAATGGTCTGATATCACCAGCCTAAGACAGACGCGTACACATTGGGGCACCTTAACCCGCTAAAAGTGTTTTGTGCGAAAGACACCCCTGCGGCTCACGGCAGGGCAAACGATTATCGACGCTTTGTCGTAGCTGAACGAGCAGATCCAGGAAGCGACCGCGTCCGCGGACTATAGCTGAACACTCTTACTCTACATGCAGAGCTCGTACATATCACAGCCAGCGTGAAAATATTGATGGCTCGTTATTCCCACCCGCAATGCACCCAAAACAAAAGCGTCGATATGACAGGATTACTCACCCGAAGGAAGTCAAACGAGCAGCATGACGCTTGCGACTCTCCGGCAACGACCGTCTCCAGCTCTCCGTGAATTGGCGCGAAGCCTTAGCACCGTCCGAACTCTTTGCCGTGGATTAGTGCGCCTGCCCCTCTCCTCCTGACCGAACTACATTGGTCCAGTTAAGAGGGACCAGTCCCCTCTTAATATGAAGGGAGACGCGTGAATCTTTCTGACGGTCTTTCCTGTTCAGAGGGACTAACGAAACGGTTTCCTTGGTCTCTCTTAATATGTTGGTGTCCCTCTAGATGTTGCTATTTTATTTTTCAATTTCCCTCTTAAAAAGAGCTGTCCCCGTGAAAGCATTGTTGTCCCCTCTAAAATCAGAGGGACAGCGTTTTTTATGAGAGACCGGTTTTAGAGTGTATGGGTCGAATATGCTCGTGATTGACGAAACTAGGCTAGAATTCAACCTCTAACTCGTTTTTTTCTTAAAGTTGGAACAAAATAATCTAAGCGGTCACCTTATTCACGATCAAGTCGGCCTTTGGTCGTTGTTGCCGGGGTTACCCGACGCTGTATTCTTGAAATCTCAAAAGCCGCGCTTGCAGACAGCTGCTAAAATATACATCGTACAAAGGGACAGTCTGCATGCAATGTCTAACTAATTGTTAGGAAGTGTTAGGTTATTTAATAACGTAAGATGTATTTGATTTAAATCCGGTCTATGTGACTTAAATCACTTCACTCTATCACAGAGTAACAGTGTATTGGACGACCTGCATGGGAACAGCTTACATCACCGCCGAGAAAAGGCAGGTCTGGGTTTCCTTTTCAAAGTCCTCCATGGCATGGCCGACTGTTCAGAATTGCTGTCACAAATATCTTTTACGAGTTCTTCGGACAGCGCCCAGTTTGACAACGTCTTTCTGCTCTGCTCGGACGTTAAATATTTTGGACCCCATGTTTCGTATGATTCGGACATATAATAGCATTGCAAGTCATCTTAATATTTTTTGTGTGCCTGCATTTGTCAGATCTCCGAGTCTTGTACGAGTCTCGCTGAACCTGTCATGATTGCGATTTTATTTCTTATTTTTTAATAAGGTATATTTGTTTTCGTGGAAGTCTTCTACCCTGCGGTTGGACCCTGTGTTGCGTTCTTTGCTTGTTGTGTAAGTCGTACCTTTATGTTAGCATGAGTTACCTGTATTTTACTGAACGCTTTGAGTTTTTTTTCAGTTTTTATTGTAGTGTGTAAGTTTGGGTGTACCAATATTAGGACCGTGTGGATACGGTCCTTCCTGGACATCTAATAAAAATCATTGATTCTTCATTATTGCCGCTGCTTTATACTCCAGCACGTTATACTGACGTCGCGAAGCTGCGATGGCACTGTTGTCGGCGCATGCGTCGGTCTATGGGGATCGAGCTCCTGTTCACTCGGTGCATTCTCGTCGTCTGTTCCAGTGGGCGGTCTGCAGCGCAATGGCACCCTGCGATCGAGCACCATCAAGAAGGTGGCGCCCCCCGTGGTGCCGGACGTGGTGGGTGGTGGCACCGCTGGCCGGCGCCACTCCTCGGCCTCGCCCACCTCGTCGGCTTCCCTGTACGGCGCCCTGCCCGGAACCCCGGACCCCAGGGCCTCGCTACAGGGCAGCCCCGGGTTTGCGCTGCCGGGCAACGCCGTGGACAACGCCTCGCAACCTCCCCCTTCGCCGTCCCCAGGCTACGGTGAGACCCTTTGTCGTCGAATGCCGTTTCGTCGAACACGGCTTCGTTGAATATCGTTCAGTCGAACACCGCTTCGTCGAACACCGCTTTGTTGAATAGCGTTTCGTCGAGTATGGTGCAGTCGAATACCGCTTCGTCGAATACGTTAGGGAGCTTTAGTAGATCGTTTAGATACCCCCGTGAACGATACCCGATACGGTGCATTCGCGAAGGCGGCGGCGTAGTACCGGGTACCGTTATCGGAGTAATCGGAACGATCTAATAAAACTTTCAGCAAAGGCGGCGGCGGAGTGTCGGGTATTGTTATCGTAGTCATCGGAACGATCTACTAAAACTCTATTTTCGCCGTTTCGTTCGAATACCCTCTTGTCGGAAGCCGTTTTCTGGAACACCGTTTTATCGAATACCGCTGTGTCGTACATCGTTCGATTAGTGTACCGTTTTGATCGTGTGCCGTTTGGTCGGATGCCATTTCATAAAAACACCGTTTCAGCAAATTCCATTTCATCGAACGATGCTTCATTGCAATTGCATTTGATGAGGCGGTACAATTGCTTCGCGAGTGTGCTGCCTCCGGGCGCAGCCATCTTGCTGTCGGTGCTCGCGTCATTTGATCGTACGAAGTCTCGCGGAGGCGAGCCCGCGGTTGCCAGACGGGTGCTCAAAGAAAGCGTTTTTGGCTGACCGTGGCCAGACGAGAAATCGAAACCCCGAACCAGCCGTTTTGGAGACCACTAGGGGACGCTGCAACCAGCAGATTTTGAGAAAGAGCCTACATTACAGAGTGTGCCCGACTGCTCGGGATTGGGGTCACGTGGTTTATGGGCTGCCTTTTCAATATGATCTACGAGTAAGTGCCGAATGCGTTGTTCCTCCGCGAGCGTCTCAGCCTTTCCGCCTGCTTTCCTCATCGCCACGCGAGAACGCAGCGCGTGCGCACTAGCGACCCATCTTCGCCGGTGGCGTCCGCCATTAAGTTGCAAACGCTTCCCCATAATTTGAGATGGACCCTCTCTACAATCTAGGCTGTCTCAAAACTCCCTATTAGGGAGTTTTCGTAGATCGTTTCCGCTGTCCCGAAACGCTCTCCGCAACCCGCTACGATACCCGGAACTCTACAGTCGAGGCCATCGACGCGCAGGCGCAGTAGCGTCTTCTTCGTTTGCGGACGGCTTCGCGGAGGGGGAAACGCGGTCTACAGAAACTCCCTACTGACGTGTAGGAGATGGGAGGGAGAAGGGAGCGGGGAGGGGGAGAAATGAGGAGAGGAACCCCAATAAATGGACAAAGGGAAGAATGTATCCCGATCCACTTTTCTTCTCTAATGGCAAATGAAGGGATCGTTTCCCTCTTGCGCAATGCAGTTGGCTGCTTTCGTAAACCCGTCCCGTGCAGCTCCACAGGTTGCGGGGAGAGCACGCCGTTGATCGCTTGTTGCGCAAGCTCCGGCCTCCTTCGTCTGGGGGCTTTCGTCACCGCGGCCGTTCTTGGTTTCACTTTCCGCCGAAAGTTCAGCCACACTCAGTTTCACGGCCGCGCAGCTACGAGTCGTTCCAGCCAATGCCGTACCGGTCGAGTCCCGCCTGACCTTCGGCTGAGGGTACACAGCGACGAGCTGGGAGTGATCACGTGACACTTGCTTAGCTCTGGATTGGCTGGGATTGGCTCGTGACGTCCGCTGCGGCACATCGTAAGATAAAACGCGGCATCAAAAAAAGAAAGGTGAAAAAAAATATATATTTACGGCGCGCGTGAAGAGGTTTTGTAATGTGCCGCACTGCGGGGGAATGCAGACCCTCGTTCCATGTTCGTTTCTAAGTGCTCAGTGTCGCGACTGCCGCTAAAATAAATTTAATGGAAATTGGCGACTTTTAAAATTATATATTCGCAGTGCCACTTTGCTTGGTTTCATTAGTCCAAGGTGACGCAACGAGTAGTCACTCTTTTTTTTTTTTTTTCTTTTTTACTAGTGATGGTGAATTGCTGTTGGGTAATAGAAAAAAAATGAGGCGTTTACACTTTTCTGTAATTTCTGTAAGAATTTCTTTTCTGTAAGAAGAAAGGTAGGGTATTATGCCCATCAGTACCCTCCCATCCTCCTCTGCTGCTCCCCTCCAATTTAGCGGGAAATTTTTTCCGCTAAATTTATCGGGGACATTTTTTTTCTATCTTTAGCGGGGAAATTTATTGTTGCTGGGTAATTGATCGATTAACCGGTAGGATAATCGATTAATGCTTTAATCGCCATTAATTTTTTTTAAACCGGTTGATCGGTAAAATTTTGAGTAACGAAAATATAGCAAAAGTTCAACGGTTTCACCACGCAAACGTGGACGAGCGCACTTGTATGAAGGGCAAACTGGAGTGAAATTCGATCCTAAAGTAAACTGTAGGGACGAGATTCGTAACTCCAGGCAATTGTAGTAGGTTACACGTGTCCCGGCCATTCAACACCGTTCAAGTGTCCGTTTAACGCAGCGGAGACTATCGTGAAAAATCAAGGGAGGTCGGTCTCGCCGGAAAATATCAATGAACCTTTTTGCCTCGTGCAGCTGAAGCAGGAATCTGTGAGTGTGAGCGTCTTTGAACCTCTCTCAACTACAGATCGAGGTTGATTCGAAATAAAAAAATTGTACATTGTCACGAATGACGATTGATGAGGCGACCAGCGACTAACGGCAACTAAACGTTGAATGGGGCGAACTTGAGCTCAAAACAAAGGTAGAAAAGAAAAAAAGGCTAGCGTACGTCGCAGTCCTCGATAGCGGCGCAACAGCTGGGATCAAGCGCTCGGGCGAGACTGCACCGCGTCTCGCCACGCGGGGTTCCTTATGCACACGCTTCGGCTCCTGGAATGATCGGTGTAGAAGGTTCGGCGCGTAGATCATTCGGACCTCGAATAAACAACAGGGTTCACCAGAACACGACATCTACAGAAAGAACGAAAAAGTGCGTCCGCTCCCAGGCATGGAACCTGGGCCCGTGGCCTGGAGAGCCAAGCACGATAACCATTCGGCCTCGGGCGCTCTTGCTCGAAGACCGCTCGTCACATATTCGGCAAATGCAAACAACTTTTTTTACTCTTTCGTATATTATGTAGAGAAATGAACGAGACCGATTAATTGATTAATTAATCGATTAAAGGGCGGCGATTAATCGGATTAATAATTTTAATCGACGAACAGCCCTAAAATTTACCCATAATGCAACGCGCGGTTACGCCGACGACGGCGACGCCGCTCAAGCCGGAAACGGACGCTTGAGAGCTGCGCTCTACTGGGTGTATCAAGGAGTGGCAATGCTCTTTAAATCGACCGCGAAATTCGGTTTCTTAACCTATCGCACTACGATTTTGTGCAGCGTTGCCCACATATGATGCTTTTTTTTTTTTTTTTTTGTAAAATTCGTGAAGAGCGAACTTACCTGAGGAAAAAGTAAAGAAAGAAAAAGGCTTAGCTCCTATGGAAATCGGGCAGAGCCAAAGGTCTTCAAACAATACGGCGCCGTTTCGCTCGGAAGACGAGATGGCGCAAGCGGTCGCGATGCCAACTGCGCCAAAGAACAAGCATATGGCGCCGAAAGCCGGCGTCTTTAGCGGACGATCTTTTCGACTTAAAAGCGGAGCGCATTCCGCAGGCGGTGGCAGTCGCAGAAACAAAAACAGGCGCGGTAACAACAGGGAACTGCAAAGCAGACGACATCGGTACTCCAAAAAAAACAAAAAAAAAAAACAGTCGAAATATCCCGACAAACCACTTTTCTAATCGATTATGTGTCTATTCAATGTGTTTTATCAGTAAGGTTGATAAAATAATGCATCGGCAACTGATATCAGAAAAGCTCGCGCCGCTTTTGAGTCGAAAAGATCGCCTGCTAAAGATGCCGGCTCTCGGCGCCGTACGCTCGTTCGTTGGCGCAGTTGCCATCGCGACCGCTTGCGCCATCTCTTGTCTCCCGTGCGAAACGACGCCGTATTGTTTGAAGACCTTTGGTTTCGCCGCATTTCCATAGGAGCTGAGCCTTTTTCTTTCTTTACTTTTCCCTCGGGTAAGTTCGCTGTTTGCAAATTTTACAGAAAAAATGCATCACAAAGTCATGGTGCGATAGGTTAAGAAACCGAATTTTTCGGTCGATTTAAAGAGCCTGGCCACTCCTTGATACACTCAGTAAAATTAATCGAAGGGATTGAACTACAGGGAGTTCCCGAGAAAAGAGAACCTTGTCTTTCGGCCCGGGAAAATAAACTACGCATCGCGGAAAGCTCAAACTCCGTAAGAATGGGACGCTAGTGTTTGGGATATAAGACGCGAAAGTTTGACAATATGACGTTATCTAGATTTAAAAAAAAAAAAAAAAATGGTTGAAAACAATTTTTTGAGCCGACGTCCACCTAAGCCTAATTTCGTCGAAACGATAAATGACACTGTAGGCGCCTGTAGCACCTTTCAGTGAAAAAAATAAAGAAAAAAAGAAGCATGTCAGGAAAAAAAGAGGACACTGTTCCCTTTCTTGCTGACAAGCTCTTTTAAATTGAAATGAATGTTAGAGGCGCCCGCGATGTCGTTTCTTGTTTTGACAATATCGGGCTTGGGTGGACGTTGGCTCAAAGAGAAATTTCATTTCTCTCAATTATCTTTTGATCCGGGTAACGTCATGTTGTCAAACGTTCGCCTTGTATCCCAATTCGCTAGCGCCACATTCGCAGGGTGAGTTTGGGCTGTCTGCGATACATAGTTTATATACTCCCGGCCGGAAAACACGGTTCTCTTTTTTCGGGAACTCTCTGTATAACTCAGTTACCTTAAAACGTGTCCGGCAAAAAAAAAAAAAAAAAAAAAAACAGTTTAATTTTTTTTTATTGACGCGTTTAAATATATGTTGTTCGTTAATGCCACATATGTACTCGTCACCTCAAACACCATGACGTCACGGAACACTGCCGCGTCACGTGACGTGACCTACCGTCACTTCACGTGGTCAGGTGACACGATCACGTGACA